CTAAAGTCACAGGCCAGATTTTAAAAGCATGCGAACAAACACTAAAGATGTGAAACACATAAAATCAAGTGTTTAACTTTCGGGTTGTAAAAACAAGTACAATTAGGCCTTATTTATTGTCCATTTTGGGAAAGGGGCTATCTCTGTGATAGAGTCCTGTCCTTTCTAGCACAATCTGATAACTAATATTGATTCCTTTTTAGACATGAAAAATGTTACCATAGGCACCTCTCAAAAGTAGAAAATTCTTCCACTGGACCATCCACATATTCACAACAAATTTGTTTTTCACAAAACAGAATTTCTGCTTCAAATGCCAGAGCTCTTTTCATTACTTGTATAAGTTTAAAAATACTCCCTTCCTTCACAGATTCTTAAATCATGGCTTATTAACACATTTTAATCTTTTGGGGGTGAAAGCTGCACTCAGTGTGTGGAGTTGGGGAACTGGAGGTCTTGTAAAAGTGGGAGAATGTTTTAAGTAGCGGCACTAGAGGAAACGAGGTAGATAGATGTCTAGGGTGCAGTTATATGAATAAGTGGGATACTTCAAAAATCAGGATTTTAGAAGGGATCATGTTATTGAAAATGCTGCAGCCCAGGATGAGCAGGCTTCTTAAATGATTTACTACATGAAATGTCTAGAAAACTTTAAAAACTTTATCAATGCCTAGACAAGGATGATTATTATATGGCCAGAGACGGGTGTTTGTATCACTGAAAGCTCTAAAAGGTTCAGGGTCACTGATCTAGGACTTCCGCTAGTGTTCTCTGGAACCTGGGCTCCCTCTACCTTCCGAATGCATCATCCCCCTTTTGTGGCACTTTTCACTATGACCCCAGGTGGAGTTCCAGCTTTTACATGGGCATGCTAAGCAGTGGAAAGGAAGAAAGGGTATGTAGGAAAAAGCTGACTCTTAAGACAAGTTCCTCAGAGCTGTCATATCCAGCTTGTGCTTACATCACTGCCCAGGACTTAGAACCTGGCCATCCTTAACTACAAGGGGAGATTGAGACATTAAGTGCTCACTCTGAGTAATCATGTGCCCACTTAAATATTTTATTATTATAAAAGAAGGGAAGACAAGATGTTTCAAAACAAGCTAGCATCTCTGCCAAAGGAAAGCAGAGGGTTACATGGTCTGAAAATATAATCTTCAGATGAGCTGAGGTTTGGAAGTTTTGTAATCTACACCAGTCTCAGATTTTTGTGTCCATACTTGTAAAAGGGGAAGCAGACTGTACTTGAAAATGACTCAGTTTACCAAATGATTTTCTTAGGGATCAACCAAGTTTCAATTAGGCAAAAAATAGGAAATGTAGACAAGAAGTTAAAGATAGAAGAGGTTTTAAAAATAGTGACTAATAAAATAGTTGTTCGCTGTGCACCATCTTTTTTCCCATAACAAGCATATATAAACACGTCTTTGCAGATGCTCTCAGTTGGTGACTCTTTCGATCCATAGTACCTTAACTCTCTACTTCTTCCTCACGAAATAAATAGCTACAAAGCCCCAGTGAGCTTCTGCATGAGGTGGCCATCATGCAAGATATCCCTTCAGTGTATCATGTCTGACCCTTAGAGGATGATGTCCTCCATCATCCTCCTAAAATTCCCAACTCCTGCTACACCTCTCTTGTCTCTAAATGGTGTTTTTATTTGGTATTTCAATGAGGAATAAAAGTGAAGCCTAGGTGTCATCAGGCATCGCTCCACTGCCTGCCTCCTAACCCGTATTCTTTCCCCCACCTTGTACAGTAGCAGTCTCCCTGCTTCTAATAAAGGCTAAGTTCTCTACTTTTATATACTCGAGCCCATTTCTTCTTGCTCTTTGTGTTGGCCAGCTTTCTGTTGCTGTAACAAAATACCTGAATGGAAGGAGGAGTGAACTCCGCCTCATGGTTTCCGAGGTATCCATCCGTGGTCACTTGACTCTGTTGATTGCAGGCCTGTGTTGAGACACTACACCACAGTGGGAGGTGTGACCGAGGAAAGACTCTCCTGTCTCCCAGTAGTGCCATAAGCGAGGCACCAAATCTTTAGCGTATGGACCCTTGGGGGATAATTAAGCTCCATGTCATATTACTCTGTCAAGGACTTTTCTCCTGCAAACACATCTTCTTACAGGTTTGCTGTCACCCACACACGTGCTCACCCATACACCATCTCTTGAAAAACACGCCACTGGCCTGTGGGCCCACAAACCAATCTAGATACTGTCTCACTTCTTAGCTATCCTTCATAGCAAAGTATCTTGAAACCATCTTTGTACACATTTGCTATCTACAGATCCTCGCTTTCCACCAGTTTGGCATGCGAGGCTTTGTTTCTACGCAGATATGTCATGTCTCTTTCCTCACCCTACTTGATCTCTACTGCAGCATCAAAGAAACTTGACTCCTCCCTCCCGCCTGGGTCAGATTTCCTTTTGTGGCTTTTGCTCGCTTCTGTTTTCTTGCTATCTTTCTGGGTTCTGCTTGTAAGTTTTCTATAAGGGTTCTCTTCTGCCCAGCCTCTGCGTGTGGAAGTCTTTTGAGCCTTAGTCCTGAGCCTTCTCTGCTGATAGTTTCATAAACCCTTATAACTTCTCCCATGGGCTCAAGACTCACATCCAAATGCCTGCTTGGCATCCACTTATGTGTTTCAGAGTCATACTCTGAGCATCTCTAAACATAACCCTTGATTTCCCACCTTCTACCTGACACCCCTTGCTGCCTTCTCTATCTCCATAAATGTCACGACCAACCACTGAGTGGCTAACATTAGAAACCCAGGTGATGCTCCCCTTCCCTCCTCCTCCTGCCACGTTTCCCCTTCAGCAAGTCCTGCCAGTTCTGACTTCATAAAAAAAATAGACCAGCACCGAGGTGCCCCCCACAGTGTTCTCAGAGACTCGGGTCCTTCCAGCTTTTTACTTGCCCACCCCAGTTTGTGCCACAGCTGGAATTCTTTGCTGCTTTGAAATTTTTTTTTACCAGCTAACTAACCCATCACTTTTAAGCTTTGCCTCCCACGAAGCATCAAGACGTGGACAAAATGAATGCAATTTTTTTTTTGCCACTCTGTGACAAAGGTAACCTTTAGTCCAACTCCCAGTAGAGTCCTCATTTCCATTTGAAACCTCATTAATGCAACCTTTCCTCTCCACATTTCTGTCAACATTTGGGTCTTCCAAACCGTCACCAGACTTGCCCATTAAACTCCACTTACGGCTTTCTAGGTGAGGCCCCACCTCCCACAGGTCCCACTGCCTCTCGGTTTCGCCACCTTGGTAACCAAGCCTTTGATTCTTGGGTCTTTGGGCGACATTGAACATCCCAACTACAGAGAGGGCTAAGAAAAGCAGTTAATTAAACTTGTTAAGAGTCATACATAAGTACAGGATTACTGAGGAGGCATCATTACCCAGCCCCTTAGTACATGTATATGTAGTATAGAGATGTCTAGAAGCCATCTTGTCAGAAACCTTATCAGTGTAGCTGATATAGGACATGCCAGGGAAGGAGAGATCAGAAGTACCTCTTGAATCATACAGTGGCTCAAAAAGTCAAAAAAGGTCGAAGCCCAGGAAAGGAGAGAAGGGCAACCAAGGAAGGTTTTGTCTTGAAGGCTTTCATTGAGAAGGGGCTCTTCAGATACCAGGCACTGGTGGCTCTAGGGAAGGGGCTGGGGTAGAGGAAAAATGAGCTGTCTCGGGTGCACTTTTATCCTTGTACCAAATACCACTAATGCAACACTCGGCAAGGTTTCGAGTATTAATGCTTGAAGAAGTGGGTGGTGCTTTTATAAGTTGCCGGAAAGTAGAAGATGATAGTACTCAGGAGTTGTTTGTTGTGGTAAATATCCATGGCCTGAAGCTTGCTTTTTCAGTCACCTTGAATGTGTGCCTCAGCGGTTCTCAAGGCATCCATGCGTTGTTCTGCAGCCATCACTACTGCCCATCGCCAGGACGTTTTTCTTCTTTCTAAATGCAAACTCCATTCCCATTGGACAGTGATTCCTGCTTCCCATCCCGCTTTACCCTAGGAAACACTATTTTATTTTCTGTCTCTATGAAGTTGACTCTTGCAGGTACCTTGTATAAGTGGAATCATGAAATCCTTATCTCGTGTCTGGCTTATTTTACTTAGCAATGTCTTTAAAGCTTCTCTGGGTTGTAGCGTGACTCTGAACTTCATTCCTTTTCTAGGCAGAGTAATACTCCATTCTATGTGAAAAGCACATTTTGTTTATCCATTCATCCATGGATGGATAGATACTGGATGCTTTCACCTTGACTGCTACAAGTGATGTTTCTGTGAACGTGGGTGTTCTAATACCTTTTCATGCCCCTGCTTTCAATCCTTTAGGACATAAATACATAAGTGGAATTGCTGGATATTTGGTTTAATGTTTAATTGTTTTGAGGAATATACTTTAAGGGATATTAAACATACTCATCGTTGAACAAAGAGTGGTTCATTTATTGCTTCATATATGTCATAGGATCCACGGGCATCAGAGGAATGGAAACAAAAAATATAAGGCAGCTTCTTTTAAGAAACACAGGGGCTTGGGGTGAAGGATGGTCAACAGTTACCTAAGTAACTAGCTCTGACTCGCCGTGTGTACTTCTGTAACAAGATAATGTGTAGAATTCTATGGGAGTGGGACTATGTGATAACAGTGGTTTCTGGTGTTTCTGATTATCTAGGCTCCTCGGATATTTAAGTGGAGAAGCTACTACGTCCAACTATTTGTGGTACATGTTTTTTTTTGTTGTTGTTGTTGTTTTTGTTCTTGTTTTGGTTTTGGTTTTTTGAGACAGGGTCTCACTATGAAGCCCAGGCTGGCCTTGAACTCACAGCAGTCCTCCTGCCTCAGTTTCTCAAGTGCTGCGATGACAGCTGTGCACTAGCACATCTGGCTGTACCTTTGTTTTTTAATAGCTAACTCAATCCATTCATGTTTTTCCCCCCTGTAATCTCAATGCCTCTCTTTTACTTTTGTCTTCCTCTAGTGGTTTTTGATTGCCAACAGATCTTACAAAGTTAGTGCAGCCAGCTCCTTCTTCTTCAGTGGTGTGTTTGTTGGCGTCATCTCTTTTGGTCAGCTGTCAGACCGCTTTGGAAGGAAAAAAGTCTATCTCACAGGTAACCTATCGAACTGAGTAAGAGCTCTTACTTCCCTGAGATTCTTAGGGAAGTGATAAGGCGACTGTTTGCTTCACGTCCTTGAAGAACTGGCGTGTGGGCGCAGAGTTTATTCTCATTACACCGGCGAGAGAGGGCACTACAGTCAGAGCTGATGAGGCCAAGAGGTTTTCAGTGCTCAGCCCACCAGGTTAAGGCCAGAGATTTGTGCTGAAAACTTTTGCATGCAGTGGTGCTTTCTGCAACCCCCAAGTTGCAGTTTATGCTGTGTTTCCAAGGAAAGTAGCAAAAAGATGGAGGCAGTCTTCTAGAAGTGGTTTTCACATCTCCTGGTGCCAATGCATTTCAAATGGGCTCCCCAGGGCTTGGCAGAGTTTTCTTGACAAGCTGAGCATGGGCAAAGATTTTCAGCACTCTGACGGATAACTGAAAATTGTGTGTGATTGTCAGAAATTGTGAAACAACAACAACAAGCAAACCCTGGCATTTTTGTTAGTTTTAAAGAGAGACTTAGAAAAAAATCTAGCTTAGAAAATTTATGTTTACGAAGGTTTATCTTACAAACTAATGAATATAATTTATTATGTTCACTAACTGTTGCTTTGCTTCTGGATCACTGAATATTGTTTCTCTCTTTCTAGGTTTTGCTCTTGACATTTTATTTGCTATTGCAAATGGATTTTCCCCCTCCTACGAGTTCTTTACAGTAACCCGCTTCTTGGTGGGGATGATGAATGGAGGGATGTCGCTGGTGGCCTTTGTCCTGCTAAATGAATGCGTGGGCACCGCCTACTGGGCTCTGGCAGGTACTGCTTACATTCATGCAGAACTGGAAGTGGTGAGTGGCTCCGAAAAGCCTTGCAGGGAACCAGTTTATCCCTAGAGCCAGAAAATGCATTTAAACTTGAGATGTCTTCTCCAACTATAGACTGAATATTGCTTATTCCAAATGCTCAGGACCAGAAGTGCTTCCCATTTCATATTTTGGGATATTTACAAATCCATAATCAAATGTCTTGGGAATGGGTCCCTAGTCTAAACAGAAAATTCATTTACATTTCATATACACCTTGTACACATAGTTTGAAAGTAATTTTATACAGTATTTTTAGTGCACCCCATGTGGAAATTTCTACTTGATGTCATGTCAGTGCTTAAAAAGTTTTCGATTTTGGAGCATTTTAGAATTTGGATTTTCATATGGATGATCAATCTGTAGTAGATTTGCTTTCCTGAGTTTGAGCTGTGTGAGTCCCAGAAGTCACATTTAATTCACATTCTATGCTAGAACGTTCCCCCAGTGCCTGGCTGCCCATGGGCTGGTCACCATCCTGTGTTGGACAGCGTTCCCAGAACAGCACTAACTGCTCTTTACCCAGAGTGGGAAATAGTAGAGAGAGGAGTACTACAAACTCCTTTCTTGAAACCTTCTTGTTTTATTTTCTTAAATCCTTGTTCCATGGACTTTCTCATTTTTTACCCTTCTGTTCAAATTAATACTTGGTATGATGGTAGCATTTCTTTGTTGATGTCAAATATCCTACTTGAAGCCTTGTTCTACGTTATTTTTCACAATCCCATCATCTCCTCAAAAACTATTTATTTAGAGAAATAAATGATTATAAAAGGTGATTTGATTTAAAATACTGCCTTGGGAGAGTGCCTGTGTCTTAAGACTCTGCTTTTTGTATTATATGATATAGTGATAATTTTTTGTTTCGTTTTGTTTTGTTTTCATTCATTTGACAAGCATTGATTATCATTGACATTCTTGTACCCATACGGAAACATGTTGACTGTGTGACTGATAAAAATGCACCCAAGTGAGCATGTGTACGAGAGAGCACTATATCTCTCTTTAAACAAATCCCAGGGCTGCTGTCATTGGCTGGGCATCTATTATGTGCCAAGTAGCACACTAGGCCTTTGACGTGCGCCTGTAATATTCCCAGAGCCCACTGTTAAGAATATCTACTCTCATTTTATGGATAAGGAAAGCTGAAGCTCTGAGAGGGGAGGTGACATATCCGCCCATAGCTCATGACTGATAGTCCTGGCTGCATCCCAGGTGTGGCTGGCGCCTAAGCACACATCTTCCCACTGTCCTGAGGACTGTCCTTGTGGGACTTCAGCACGTCACATCCCTGAGCCTGGCCAACCAATGATTTCTCACCTGTGTTTTGGAAGTTGTGCAGGCTCTCACCTCAAGCCAGGAGACAGAGGCTAAACAAAATAGTCTCCCGCTCTCCGTATATCCAAGAACCTGCTGTTAAGCTGAAGGATGCCCTGCACCAGCTCCATCCTAGATGGGCAGACTTCCTGCTGGTGCTCACACAGTGTGTTTTTTAATTTCCTTCTTCTATAGCAGCTTTCAGAAACTTTTGGGACAAGCTGCTTATTTCCCCCAGCCCACCCAGCTCTTAAGGACTCCTGAGGTCTCCTGAGCAAACTTCACTGGAGTTTTCATTTTTCAGAGACTTTAAGGTTATTTTTATTGTTTTTCTTTGTTGACATTGGAGCTCAAACCCAGGGCCTTGTGCGTACTGAGCACTAGCAGATTCTGTACCACTGAGCTGTACAATGTCATTTTTCCTGAAGCATGAGGTCAGACTTGCTGAGATTTTCTAAGGAATTAATAAAGTGATTGTTGCCCCTCGCTGTATGCAGAGCAGGCACAGAGGTGGCCTCTCCTATAGGTGGCCTCCTGAGGCCCAAAGTTTTGTCCATACTGAGCACCATAACTACATATTTTTCAGGCACTTGTGTATTTCTCTATTAAAATCACATTTGACTTTAGTTCCACAAAATTGCTCTTGAAGAAAAGATGTGTTTTACCCTTCCCCTGCCGGATTATCTAAGGATTTTTCCTTTTCTGTTACATATGGTGTGTAAAAAGAAAGACTTCTTGGTCCCTTGTTCCCTTGACAGTAACCTAAAGCCAGTGAAAAGATTCCTGTTGAAGGGCTTTAACCTCCCATTCTTGCCCTTGAAGCTGGGTTAAGATGAAGCAATTAAAATTTCTGTAGCAAAGAAAAAAAGAAGGAAAGGAAAAAAAACAAAAAACCACTAACAGTACAGCCAGACATTTGCCCAATTCAATGTGAAATGGAGAGCGAGTAACAGCGTCCCCTGGAGGCCAAGACTTGGACCTGTACCCGGAACTAAAAGAAGGCAGCCTGGGGATCTCCTCTCCTCTCCTCTCCCTGAACCCAAAGTCTTCCTGGGAATTTTGTCCTTGGCCTTACTTTCCAAGTTGATTTCTTTCCAGCACAATCTTATAAACCCCGTGGTTTCTAACATGTGAGCTGCAAGAAGTTGGGGAGAAAAAAAAATCTAAATGTTTAGCAATCAGGGATTCATTGGAAATAGCCTAGTTATTTTACAATAAAAAATTAGCTTGAGAAACCATACCCGATTACTAGTTTTGTAATATATGTAGTGTATAAAGTATAAACAAACAAGGCACAAGTGCAGACTGAGAGCATCTGTTTCATCCCACGTCAGCAGAGTTCTTAGCAAGAATGAGGTTAAGTAAAAATTACTGAGAATTTTAAAAATGAAATAAAATACTAAAGCTATGAAAATTCCACATTAATGTATTTGTCTACTTACTATCTTTTTGTAACACAAAGAATTGACTCATATGTCAAGCATAAAGAATGCATTTAGTCACACCCATCTCCAGATGACCCCTTACTGTATCACTGTCTACCTTGGAAATCCCTTCCTGTCTGTCTCTGCTCCACAACACTCAGGTGTTAACAGACCCCGCCACCATTTTTTAAAAAACTTCAGATTAAAATAAGATAGGACAGGGATGAGGTGGGAGATGGTCCTTGCCATGTCTTGAAGCTTGTTTTTCAATCAGAAGAAGCAAAGCAAATGTGAACCAATTTCAGAAAATTCTAAGGACCTGTGCTCTCTTTGGCAGCACATATACTAAAGTCGGTACCATAACAGAGAAGATTAGCACAGCCCCTGCGCGAGGATGAAGTGCAAATTCATGAAGAAGATTCTAAGGACAGTGAGAAAAATGAAGCAGGGTGATGGGCTAGGCATAATGGTGGGAATAGTGACCTTGAAAACGTTTTTAAGAGAAAAGCTCAGCACAGTGTAGAAGTTTGATGTAGGACAGGAGTGAGGAGGAAGATGGAACACTGACATTCCGGAGAGCATTGGGCCAGAGGGAATGGCAAAATCCAAGGCCTGAGGCAGGAAGGAGCTGCTCCCAGGCCCTGAAAGGCTCCCCTTGGCTGAGCTCTGTTAAGAGGATGAATGAAGTGAGATAAGGTTGCAGGGAGAATTGGTGGGAAGCCAGTGAGGTGCCCTAACTGGAAGAGCAATAGAGCCTCTTATACAGAAATGTTACTCTGGAAGGCTTGGAAAGAAGGGCCAGAAGGAGGAAAAAGGAGTTGTGGGATCAGTTAGGAGACAGTGTAGCTGGCTGCACAAAACATGGAGACCTGAACTAGGTGGGAGTCCTGGAGGAGGAGGAG